CAAAGGTAATCCACTGCGTCTTCAGCGGCTCAGATGTCAGGAGTAAATGACGACTGCTATGTTCATTATTACATCCAACAACAGAACACCTCAATCGCTTAGGAGTCATTCTTGTCTACAACTGCTCCGGCGGTGAAACAATGATGGACTGATGACAGCTCACTCAGGGCGGAGCTAAGGTAAGACGCCAGTCCAGTCTGTCAAACTATCGTGGGAGGGGCCTGTTTTTGTGACGTCACACTGACAGGAATCTGAAATCAGCTTGATTTGAGAAAGGGGTAAAGTTTTTTGTAGATTAACAAAAAACCACTGGGTGGATTTTTATCATTATAGGGTGGTTGTGTACACACACTGCCAACACACATTTCAGTTCAAACAACTTGTAAAAGTGCATGTAGCATCATATGACCCCTTTAAAAAAAAATTTAATTCTTTCCCCATCATTGACTGAATTTTCTGCCTTTCTGTGTTTTCACTACTATATAGTAGGGGGAGCAATTACACATCTTCTGAAAGAGTACCAAATGTCTGGATCAAAACATGGCGAAGAAGCAGAAACAAGTGATCACATATATACGCAAAATTATGGAAAAATCAGACATTAAACAGCATAGAAATCAAAGCTGCCTGATGCTATCAAATGAAATGACGACCCAGGAGTGGTTTAGGACTGTGAAGATTTGGGGGTCTTGATGGAAATGATCTACTGTTCACCACGTTGCTTTTTTATATGAAACTTTCCCACATTCCAGTTTTGATGAAAAAGCGGAAAGCAGAAATGGTATAAAAGCAGAGGCTTTGATTTTTTCTTTTTTTTTTGACATTTTGCATGTTCAGAAATCCATACAACAAAATATCCTGGGGGCCATGAATGTTTTGTGAAAATGATCAAAATGTTGCTGGTGACAAAAACATCAAAGTTGTCCTAAAACTTAAAACCAAAATGCGTTCTTGTCTTAGGACAACTTTGATGAACTTTTTTTGATCCACTTCAAATGTTGACTACTGTACACAGCACTAATATTATGCTCATTAGTATTTCACACCAGAAGATTAATGGGATTCACTTTGACGAGACATGTAAGATATAACATTGCAGATGTACAAATAATAAAAAATAAGCTACCTGGAAATTACCTTTTAATTATAGTAGACTGAAAGCCAAGCATTGCTAACCTTAGTTAGGTAAACTGATTATATTGAATTAGCAACCAATGACCAGCCATAGAATATGCTTGAACAACTTAACACTATCATGCACACATTGTGTGCACTAAGAAATCATTATGTACTGCTTCACAGATGTCATCGCCTCTCAGCTGGCATCTCTAAAGGCCAATTCACACTGTACTGACAGACACCGACAAATAGTTTCCACAGTCTCTGACCCTTTGCTGGTCTTGCAGCCAGCATTCAACAACTTTGGGCAAGAAACGTGCATTCACAGACATCAAATCATTCAGCCGTGCCTCTGCAACAAATTTTGTGGGTTGCAGGGGCTCAATACCCTCTGGAGTTCCCACTAGACATAGACTGCTTTGTTGGGAACAGCATTCCAAATCCAGGCACTTGGCAAGAAGAGCAGAAATCTCACTCTGTGAAGAGACTACAGGGGGTACAAGCACCTACAGACTAGTTATAAAGTTGCATTTTAAAGAGTAGTTAGTCTCTCTTTGTGTGTCCTGATATCTAGTGTCAAGTTTGTATATCAAACATTTGTGACCCGTGCTGGCAAAATGAGTCGGAATACGCACGGTTTAATTTTGAACTACAGGCAAAAGGAGCGAAAAAAGTCAGTTTTGGTCGAATTTGAGGTTTTCACAAAAATGTGTTCATTAAGCCCTCTTCTAGCGATCTCAATGCTCCAAATAGTAATTAAACATCTAAAATGATCTTTTTTTGTACGTTTTCTGAGAGGAGTAGCTTTTTCTCTGCTCGCTTCTGGACGACTGCTGCTGCTTCTCACCACAAGTCTGTTGTTGCAAAGCTTTGTTTGTTGAATTGCAGCTTTGTGAATATTCATATTGAATTCTCGATTACATGAATCCCAACCAGTGAAATATGATTTTCAAACCCATGCTGATGAAAACAAAATGATCGAGCTGACTGACATTTGCAAAGTGCGTGCATAAGACGTGCCTCTCTGAGAGTGCGCGATCTTGGTAAGATTCACACAAACATAAACTGTTATGTCTTACATGAACATTTAGTTAATGGTTGTGGAAAAATCTGATGTATAAAATTATATTAGATGCATGCATTACAGTAGATCTTCATATAGATCTGTCTCGATGTTAATCAAACGTTAATAGAAAAGATGGAATCACTTGCTGCTCTTTATTAAACTACTGTTTATTTGCATTTTTGTTCTTATTTTTAATAACAAGATAAAATAAAAAAGCTATATTGTGATTAATAATATAGTAATTATTATTAAGAAAAGAATTGGACGAAAATATGCAACTTTGCTTGGTGAAAACACATTCATCTGAATAATTACTGAGTGTTATCATTTTCAGGTGATGTGTAATTGTTAATGAGGGAAGGTGTAGCTAGCTAAAGTGGCAAACACTTTAAATACAGATGTGCATATTTATTAGGCAGATTTTTACTACTGGTAAAAATGAGAAAAAAAAGAGACTTAACTGACACCGAGAAGTCAAAAATTGTGAAATGCCTTTTTTAGAAAAACGCAGTACTCTGGAAATTTCCAAACTATAAAAGTGTGACCATCGGAATCAAGCGGTTGGTCAATAATAGTCAGCAGGGGCGCAAAAAATGTGTTGAGAAGAAAACGTGCCACTTTTGCTCAATATTTTGAACGCAAAATACCACAATATCCAATGAAACAGTTTAACAAGTGCTCAGAATGACCATTGTTTTGATGTGCTGCTCACTTTAAACTGTAGAAACGGGATAATGGAGCTACCATTGTCATTTTGTATCGCATTTTGAAACCAAGCTGAAGTTCGGAACCCTTCTTAACATTGTTAATTCATCATTATCATTAGAACATGAAGATCATCAAGAAGAACGCCATGATCGGAGCTGTTTTTGTTGTGCGTCTTGGGTTTCGTGATAACGGAGATGGAATGTAAATGCACAATTTACGCGACTGAAAGAGGAAAAAGTTGGGCTAAGAGACAAAATCTCCTATATGACAACTTGCAGTGTTACATATCGAGGCTGAGAGAAGAACACACACACACACAACACTGCAGACAACAGGTAAATGCCGTTATCGATGTTTTCCATGTTCATGGAGTAAGCATTTTTACATGGCTTTTTAAAAATGCCTTGGCGTTTGGCCAAGCAGCGTACACTTACGTCACTGATAGATCCTATAGAACTGTTTTACACCCTACTCTGAAGTAGGAGCTAATTTAGTTCCCCTAAAAAACAGAGTTTCTAGAACTAAAACCATTCCTGGTTCCTGTGGTGCGAACACGCCAAAAAGCGGGTACTTCCTCCAATAGTTCTAGGAACTATGAAAGATTCCTCCGGTGCGAAAGCCCCTATAGTCAGTCTGTTCTTAGGCCAGATGTTAAGACTTGCGCCCAGCAAATACCACAAAACATACACAGGCCTCTACAACCAGACAGTCCCTCGATGCAGGCCCCCTGTTTCCAGCTAAGGCCATAACGCATCATGCCAGGACCAGCTGGGATTGTAAAGTAGACCTAAATGACTAGCAGGATCACTAATTGATAAGCCAGTCTCTGATCACTATACTGCACCATGTTTTCAACCTGCTGGTCAGAATACAACCCCTGCCTCAATGATCTCACCCAAGTCCATTGTGGTCCATGCCAATCTCTAAGCAAAAGAGCTGCTTCCAATTTTGAATACCATACAGAAACATTGACTTGTACTTGGAATCATCAATCACATTGTGTTCGCTCCATTCGTTCGTTCATTCTGTGGCCAGAGGTTTCTCACTGCTAGCACATGACAGAGTTTCTGTTCCAAACCACTGTCACCTTTGGTTTGCTCAGTGGGCAAAACTATTAATATTCAGCAAACTCTATAAATCTCATTTGAAATCACTGAATACTTGCATTTTTGAGATTTTCATGATTTACTAATTGGAAACAGTGTTGCAGGTCCGTGATTTCATTAGCATCAAATTACCAAGTATAAATGTATATATTTGTATTCATTTTCTATTTATTTATAGTTGTGGTTATTGAATGCACCTTGTGCTTGTACTTTGTACTTGCAGTGTCTGGTCTGGAAATGTCCTGAGAAAAATTACTTTTCCAGAATATTCTTGGAAACAAACATTGTTAGTCGGGTTAGGATCTGGCACAAAACCAAAATCATTATTAGTAAAAGCATTACAAGTAACGTGCCAAAGCCAGTCATATCTTCCATTGCTTGAGTGTACAGGATAAGCATTTACACACTTATATCCCTGATGTAAAAGCGCTGTGACTTACCATTATTGTCGGGTGTCATGCTAACAGTCACTGCGGTATGCGGGAAGACACTGAGAGTGTCACGGTTCATCCCGTCTCGTTGAAACGTGTTACCCTCGAAATAGACCCCATGGATATCCACCTCAGTGCCCAAGCCAAGTATGTGCCACATAACATGTTCCCCATTACACAAGTCCAGACCAGGCAGGTTTCCATACATGTAGCCATTCACCGCTGAGAAGGAACACACACATTCTTAATCAGAATACCGTCAAACCATAAACTTGTATATTCACAAAGTGTGGATGTAAATGCACATGATCGTGCGATTAAACACATATATGCATACCGTGCATCTTATTGCTTTCCTGAAACTCTTCATTGGCTGGATCTGAATCACGGCTACCAAACTTGTTCAAATTCTTTTGCAGATACCAGCTTTTATTCTCATCCATGATAGAGAACAGCAGAAAAAACTCGTGCTGAATTTTGTTGGCATACTAAAGACACACACCCGTACGAAAAAACATCACACACAGACAAAACAAACAGACATAAACACATAGGCCATTACATTTACTTGCATTACATTCAGTTTGTCCACAAACTACAGTGTTCACCGCATTTTTCAAACAATCAACCCTGAAAGAAACCGTAAGAAAAAAACAACAGTTTTTTTCTTTAATTTATAGAAATATACATTTATTAATAACTACAAACTGGCATTTAGTCTCAAATGCTACCTCCAACTGAATGACAGCTTGATTTAGGTAATCCAATAAAACAGCTCATATAAAACAAATTTTCATGTTTTTGGTTGACAGTCAAGCAACCTCTTTTCACAGAACGATCCTTCATTTTTAAACCCTATTTTGTACCGTATTGTCTGTGCAAGTTCATTACCTGATGGCCACTTCCATCAAGAACACCTTTCCTGCACACTTGTATGGGCCCAAATAAACCAGAGTTAGTGTCCCGAACCGGATCAACAGCAGAATAGTACAAGTATGAAATACAAGGAGGATCACTGCTGGAGGGACCTTCAATTACTCTCCAGCGATAGGTGAACTTTTCACCAGGAGCCACAGAGGCTCCAGCTTTCTGAGTACCTGTTGAGGAGGCGACAGAAAACAAAATAATCTAAAATCTTAGACTTATGACTTAAGACTTATGTTTTGTATTTTAATATTGTAGCCAAATGTGATGCAATGCGTGCATAAAGCTGTCAAATAGTATTCTTTGTGTTCATTGATGTTCAGTGATGAAATTGTCACCAAAGGCCTAAAGCAGTGGTTTTTAAGCTTTTTTGAATGAATTCCCCCTCTTTGCTTTGCCCATTTAGAAACCCTAGATTGAAGATCTATGTGTGTGTATACCTGTAGCTGTATATGACTTACCATCCTGATACTTTGCTCCTTCATAGGTCTTCTCATAATGCAGACCGTGTGGCTGAATGCTGTAGTCACGTGTAGCTCTGTTAAAGAATGTCACAATGATAACATCACCAGCCTCTGCTCTGATTACAGGACCTATAGTGGGAGTGGGGGAGGGGTGTAGAGAAAATTGATCATTTAAACCAACTGTTCCCAACCCTGGTCCTGGAGGCACCCCAACACTTCACGTTTTGCATGTCTCCTTAATCAAACACACCTGATTCAGGTCATCAGCTCATTAGTAGAGACTTCAAGACCTGAAATTGGCGCGTCAGAGAAAGGAGACATGCAAAATGTGCAGTTTTGGGGTGCCTCCAGGACCAGGGTTGGGAACCACTGATTTAAACTACATGAATAAGACTGAAAGGCACTCATACATCACAGCATGGCATCACCTCTGCGGGCCAGGGCATATTACTATACTTCTTATTCAGAAACATTAAAGTTGGCAGGAAATCAAAATCAACCATATTTTTCGTTATGCATGTTACTGGTCTTATTGTTAACCATTCATATATGCATTATTTTTTTCATATTATTTTTTGACCTCAAACCTTTAATCAAAACTTGCTCCTCCTGTGATATGACTGAATCCTCTTTGCTGACATTTCGTTTCATGCCAACTTTAAAATATTACCAAAGACCTATCAGTGTTCAGAAACATGCAAGACACAAGCGAGGATTTTACCCAGAATTCCAAGATGCTCATCCGAGCCCGCAATATGTGTTTTGGTAGTAAATGTGCTGTCAGTGTATGAAATGTATCTGGCCTTCAGGTATTTTCCACCCAGCTTACCACCATCACGACTAAAATACGATTCAGAGTCACTGAAGGGAAAGAAAGACATTAACGTAAATGAAAGTAATCTAATACAATTACGAAATCAACATGCATATTACAAATAAAAAATAAAAGGTAAAATTCAATTATAAATAGATAATACCAGACCTGCAGCAGCAATTATATGTGATAATTACATCAATTATAATAAATCAACTTATTTATCTTTCATTTTTAGATTTTCTATGGCTTCTTCCTGTTTTCAGGCATTGTCTGTGCACTAACGAATAGTGGCAAAAGTTAATCCCATCCAAATTTATTAAATAACATTTAAAAGCAAAGCATAAGCTCAGAGGCTTCAGAATCCCTCAGCAATTTCAGATTTCAGATCTAGCAGGTTTTGAGTTACTCAATCGTGCATTAAAGCATCTCCAAATCTGTGTTTTTACCTCTCTGGCTCAGTAAGTGGTTTATTTGTCATGTAGTTCATCCCTGAAGGGGCGTAGTCCCAATCCATCTCCTCAGCAGTGACGTAGAAATGTCTCTCTTTGCCAGGGGCCTCTGTTGGAGAGACTGAGGACCCACAGGCCGAGACCTCATAGAAACTCTGCATACCTGCTGCTCACAAGAACAGAGAGAGAGAAGATATATTGAAATCATAAATTGACCTGCTTCCCTTAAGTAAACTCAAGACACTCAAGTTTATGTGAACTCAAAGAAAAAGTCATAAGCAGTCCTTTTGAATTGAATTACTGATAAAGACAACAGAGCTGAAGCTCTGAAAATAAATTACATTTGAAATAGCGTAAATTATCCTGACAAGTTACCATACATTTATGGATTCAAATTGTTGGTATGACATAATGATGAATTTTCTTTTTCAGTGAAGGAATTAAAAGGAGCGTAAAACATGAACAGTGTACCAAGCTACAAATCAAAACTGAAAGTGATCACACACGGATTAGAGACAAAAACAATGCATCAAAAAATTAGGAACGAATATTAGGCTTCACACAGAGATGACAGAAAGACAGTTACTACCTTCTACATGATCGTTGACTTGGCAGCTTAACAACCATTTTCCTTCTGTTCTGGGGATCATTGTTGCGGTGACAAAAGTGGCAGGAAACAGACTAAGCACATCTGTGCGGTGCATGCGATCCACGAGGGTGTGTCCATGGAAATAAGCTGAATGAATGTCCACCTCGTTACCAATGCCGAAGAGATGCCAAGACACGGGACGTCCGACACACACTTTCAGTGCAGGCAAATTCCCATAAACATAGCCATTGATTGCTAATGGGGAAAAAGACAAGAACAAACTGAACGAGTGACACTGAGAGATAAATGATGAGATGACATGAGCTTTATAATTAATTCGAAAAATTGACCCTTATGACTGGTTTTGTGGTCCATGGTCACATATAAGAAAAACAATAATTCTGCCTATTATTCATTTAGATAACAAAATGTCAGGCTTAGAAATTAAAACCACAAACAGCTGTGTTTGTATCTTAGAGTGCAGAGAACTTTGGATATCAAAAGGAAAACTAAACTTTTCTGAATGGCTTTGTTCCAAAGTGGAACAGATACAAGGTACTTTCCATGCAAAACATGCAAAACATCAGCTAAAGATTACACCACGGGAATGTATGGGCTTACTTTTATAAAACCTATCACCGTTGGTTACAGACATTAATGTAGCTGTAGTTGGAGAAAAAAAAAAGCAGCAGTTTTGATTCCCAGTAGTGTGTGCCATGGTACCAACATTTCAGTAGTCAGCACCAAACACAGTGAAATTTGATCATTTCAATACTAAAGATATTTCAGTAGATTGCTAATTAATCACTTCTTTTAAACTGTTTAAGTGCTACAGTGCAATGTAAGCTGCTTTGTAGACGTGTATAGTATATTTGTATAAAACACATTAATATAAATTGTTAAGTTTTTAGTTTCTATGATAAAAATAGAACATTCCTCATTAGAACACAAGGAGCAACAACCCAATTTTTATGCATGGATACGGTTAAAGATTGAGACATCCTGAGACTCACAGTGCATGAGGTTGGACTCTCTGAACTCCTCGTCTACGTATTCCATATGTTGTTTTGTTGCATCTGGATCAGAGCAGAACTTTTCAATATTCTCCTCCAAGTACCAGCTCAAGTTCTCATCCACCACACTGAACATCAAAATGACATCTTCATCCACATCAGAGCGCTTTTGACTAGAGTCCAAAGTGCCTAAAGAAAAGAAAAAGATATTAGGAAAAGACTAAAAACGGTAAAAATAATCAGATTTAGAAGGGAGGAGTGCTTGATGCTAAGAAGTAGTTGACTGTACAATCTTCTGTGTGCATGTAAACTAAATGTATTCCATGCATGTACAGATTATTAGGGCTTGTTTACCTTGTTTGCAGGTGAGCAGAGCTCCTATAAGCCCTGATGCAATGTCTTTTGGTGCATCTCCATGTGAATGGTAAATCCAGGTGAGACAGCTGGCATCTGCTTCAGTAGGAGCGTACTCTGGTTTGACCTGCCAGGTGTATGTGTAGCTCTCACCTGGAGCCACCGCATCATCTCTCTTATCACGACCAGTGGTGCCGTCTGGATACAACGCTCCTAAAATACAGAGCAACGAATTCACACTTGTCCAATCTCATCTGTTCAAGGACTCGTTTTTGACAAATTGTAACAAATCTAGGACTTTAAAGGGGGCACACTGTATCAGCACTGGATTTTCCTTGCTCTTTTAGTATAAAATTCAATAAACAACCTTTCTTCCAAGTCCAACCAGATTTTTATGGAAGCTACGCTCATTTAGAAATATTTGCATGACTAACACATGTTTACACAATAATGCCTATTCAGTAAATTGGCCTGCGATGGAGCGTACTCTGGTTTGACCTGCCAGGTGTATGTGTAGCTCTCACCTGGAGCCACCGCATCATCTCTCTTATCACGACCAGTGGTGCCGTCTGGATACAACGCTCCTAAAATACAGAGCAACGAATTCACACTTGTCCAATCTCATCTGTTCAAGGACTCGTTTTTGACAAATTGTAACAAATCTAGGACTTTAAAGGGGGCACACTGTATCAGCACTGGATTTTCCTTGCTCTTTTAGTATAAAATTCAATAAACAACCTTTCTACCAAGTCCAACCAGATTTTTATGGAAGCTACGCTCATTTAGAAATATTTGCATGACTAACACGTTTACACAATAATGCCTATTCAGTAAATTGGCCTGCGATGGAAGTAGACACTGTAAAGTTAAACTTAACCTCATAAAAAATGATGAACAAATGACAGGGAAAGTTGCTTGTTAACTTGTTACGTGGTTAAAAACAAAGGTGTTGTACCAAGGTTACACTAAAAAAAAAACTAGTTTTAGCACAAATGAATAAACATAATGTGATTCATATGCATCAGTCATACGTAAATGAAACGGGTAAGATTTCTGTAATAGTTCACAGTGTTGGATTTAAGGAGATAATTACGTGACAGTTGAGCATTAATGATGAACACTTGCTGTTAACAAGCAGAATCACTGGAGGAAACAAAAACAATGAGAACAGAAAAAAAGATAAACGAAACACAAGAACTACAACTGTGGCCTGTTGCATGAAGATAGCTCAACAAACTCTGAGTTTTAGAGTAGGTTTAGAGTTGACATAAGTTGATAATTATTGTAAATAATTAGCAGATTTTGTCTCTGCAATTCTTTCTAATCAATGCAAATCACTGTGCTCTCCCAGCTGAATTAGGTGACCTGTATTTCTTCAAACATTACAAAGGTTGGTCTGCACTCTTTAGTCTTTTATTGGAATCATCAAATGTTTCAGCTATCTGCCTTCGTGAGTGTCGAAACTTTGTCTATTTTATCTCCTGCTTTGATTGCAATAAAAGACTTAAAGAGTGCAGACCAACCTTTGTAATGTTCTAAAATTCACCATAAACTGCTTTAATTTGAAGCGGGAGGGGAGTGGCTTTATTGCATCAGATATATGTCACTTTGCTCACAGCTGATTGGTTGCTTGTACTGTGCCCAGCATGCATTGCGACATGAAGCGTTTTGTTGATTGTCACCATTGTTGAGATTCACACGCTGATTCATTATGTCTGTGTGTGTCTATGTAATTATGTAGATTAAAACTTTTTGTGCACAAAGTGCTTTGTATTGGGCAACACTGCTGTAGAATCCCAATTGTACTATAATAAACAATGCAAAAATAATGCATCACCCATTTAATCAGAGATTAGGCACTATATTGTGATCAATGAAGCAGATTATTATGATTATGCCACGTAAGCATCAGCATTTCAAATTTTTTTGTGTGTTTTTTTGTCTTGGCTTTCTTTGCCATACTAAATGTATCTTACAAACACTAAGTTATAACAGCCACATAAAAGATAATGTCAAAGAGTCAAGAGCCCAACAAAAGCAAACACTGATCTCCTTGATGGCGACTTTAACATTTTCAATAAAACATTAACCTCTAAACCTCTGTAATTCTCAATAAGAGCTTCTGTAGATGCCTGACAGAAATAAAGTCAACATGGGTTGCGTTTCCCAAAAGCATCGTTACTTAGCTATGGTCACAATTTCCATTGAACTCTATTGGTAACGAGAAATGTACTACCATAGCTGCTTTTGGGAAACACCCCTGTTTAGTAATGCATAAAGCTGGTAGTGCTGTTTGTGCAGTGGTTTAATCATCTTCTGCTGAGATCTTGAGAGATTTAATGTCTTCTGTTATTTCAGTTGATTTCATCTAAAGGCTGTGGTTGTGAGTCAGTTGTAGGTTTCGTGTTTCTCTCTTTTCAGTTCTTGTTGTTTTTCTTTCCATCAGCGATTTCCACAAGCGATGCTGCTTATTTACAGCAGGTGTTCATCACTAATGTGACATAATTCGTCACATAATTATCGTATTAACCCAAACACTGCTTCAATGGTACATGGTACACAACACTGAGCAGTGTTTACTTAACACTGGGGATTTTGCTGTGAACTATTACATAGTATCTTACCTGTTTCATTTACATATGACTGAATATGAATCACATTAAGTTATGTTGAAACTATGTAATCCAAATGGATGGAAAATTTGTATGCAATTGAAATCCATAAAAATTCACCATAATGTACATACACATGTCGTGACGTTCATGAGAGACAGTCATGCAAACATGCAACATTTAAAAAAAAATCTTTGATATATATGCACATATTATAATTACAGTTTAATAATTTGAGCTAAGAAAGTGGTTGCTTCAAGTTGCCATTTTATAAAGATTCATGCCGTCTCTTGTAAATGGTGTGTTGACACACCACTTGACACTTTGCTGCACACTTTTCGTTTATTGCTCTGTTATTGATTTATGGGTTATGTGTCAAGAGACTGCTGTTGTAACCCAAAGATAAACATGGAAAGACAGCAAAATCAACAGAAGGAATGGGATGGAGGGAAAAGCAGAACTAGTAATGGAACTAATAGAGAGATAATGCATATCCAACCTTCTGAATTCTTCTCATAGAAGACTCCATGAGGGTGAAGAGAATAAGACCTGGTCGCAAAGTTCTTCATGTGCACCTCTATGACATCTCCGACCTCAGCCCGTAAAATGGGTCCGAGGAAGCCGAGCCAGGCAGGTTTAGCTATCTCCTCGGAATAAGACCCATCTGTGTACTGTCTGTACAAAGCTTTTTTGTAAACACTCCCTATCCGGGTCTTGCCACTTGACAGAAAAACCGACGCATGTCTGTTAAAGGGAGGCATTTAGAGAGAGAAATAAATAAGTAATGGTATAATCGGTAATGTCCATCATACAATCGGTGTACAAATCAGGATCCATGTTAATAATAATAATAATAATAATACATCCTATAAGAGTGTTAGCCTACAGCACCAAGCACTTACAAAAAGCTTTATCTACATAACATAAATAAATAAATAAATAGGCTACTACGTGATGTTTATTAGTTACCTAGCAGCCTATTACAATAAACACAGTAATATAAAATGCCGCCTATTACTTGTACTGTTACTGGTAAATAGATATGCGTCATTTTTACTTACTCGTCTTGCTCAATGCTTCGGTTATTGATAAGGTTTCTGGCGCTCGGTGCGTAATTCCAGTCTTCCTCTCTAATGGCTATATAATAGGTCCTCTTGAGACACTCGGCCTGCTGTAGCGCGAGCACAGCCGTCACAAAAGCGCACAGCACAGACTTCATCGCTTGTATCTAAACACAACCATGCATAACCAAAATCCGAGCCCGAGTCAAAAAGAGTCGCACGTAATCGATCTCAAAATGCTACTGCGCACGGAAAATCTAGCCTTGTGTGCGGCTACTAATCGAAACTGAAAGTTCAGCTCAACGGGCGTTCCTTCTTCCTTGGACTCGAACCGGTTTTTCGGAGAGAAGTAAAACTCCGCCGTCTCCCTTCATAACAGAGCGCCCCGATAAACCGCACACATGCCCGGCCGCGGTGACGCTGCGCTCCGCTCTGAAACAACCATCCGCTTCATGCGCGCCGCTTTTTGAATATATGGACCATTGTTTGAATATATGGACCATCGGTTTGTCCGGTGTTTCGACAATTCTTTCAAAAAACAAAACAAAAAAAAAAACCTTAAAGTCTTAAAGAAATGTTAAATCTTAAAGAAATGTGCCAGCTTTCTGTAAAATACGCTTAATATTCCTGCCATTTGCATGTGTTGGTAAACTCAGCCTACACAATGACGGTACCGGTGTATCATTTACAGAATTGTTTTCATCTATAATGTTGACAACAGCCAATTACATTACCTTAGGAGTGACCAAACCCATTCCTGGAGGGCCACTGTCCTAAACTCTGCAGGACACCGGCCCTCCAGAACCCCTGTCCTACCTAAACACCTTAACTTTCCCAAGTGTCATGTGTGTGTGTCATCCAGGTAACGTCGAGAGAGTTACATTAAATCCCCACCTGGAAACTTTAGAATTATGACCTGTATTTCTTCAAACATTACAAAGGTTGGTCTGCACTCTTTAGTCTTTTATTGGAATCATCAAATGTTTCAGCGATCTGCCTTCGTGAGTGTCGAAACTTTGTCTATTTTATCTCCTGCTTTGATTGCAATAAAAGACTTAAAGAGTGCAGACCAACCTTTGTAATGTTCTAAAATTCACCATAAACTGCTTTAATTTGAAGCGGGAGGGGAGTGGCTTTATTGCATCAGATATATGTCACTTTGCTCACAGCTGATTGGTTGCTTGTACTGTGCCCAGCATGCATTGCGACATGAAGCGTTTTGTTGATTGTCACCATTGTTGAGATTCACACGCTGATTCATTATGTCTGTGTGTGTCTATGTAATTATGTAGATTAAAACTTTTTGTGCACAAAGTGCTTTGTATTGGGCAACACTGCTGTAGAATCCCAATTGTACTATAATAAACAATGCAAAAATAATGCATCACCCATTTAATCAGAGATTAGACTCTATATTGTGATCAATGAAGCAGATGATTATGATTATGCCACGTAAGCATCAGCATTTCAATTTTTTGGTGTGTTTTTTTGTCTTGGCTTTCTTTGCCATACTAAATGTATCTTACAAACACTAAGTTATAACAGCCACATAAAAGATAATGTCAAAGAGTCAAGAGCCCAACAAAAGCAAACACTGATCTCCTTGATGGCGACTTTAACATTTTCAATAAAACATTAACCTCTAAACCTCTGTAATTCTCAATAAGAGCTTCTGTAGATGCCTGACAGAAATAAAGTCAACATGGGTTGCGTTTCCCAAAAGCATCGTTACTTAGCTATGGTCACAATTTCCATTGAACTCTATTGGTAACGAGAAATGTACTACCATAGCTGCTTTTGGGAAACACCCCTGTTTAGTAATGCATAAAGCTGGTAGTGCTGTTTGTGCAGTGGTTTAATCATCTTCTGCTGAGATCTTGAGAGATTTAATGTCTTCTGTTATTTCAGTTGATTTCATCTAAAGACTGTGGTTGTGAGTCAGTTGTAGGTTTCGTGTTTCTCTCTTTTCAGTTCTTGTTGTTTTTCTTTCCATCAGCGATTTCCACAAGCGATGCTGCTTATTTACAGCAGGTGTTCATCACTAATGTGACATAATTCGTCACATAATTATCGTATTAACCCAAACACTGCTTCAATGGTACATGGTACACAACACTGAGCAGTGTTTACTTAACACTGGGGATTTTGCTGTGAACTATTACATAGTATCTTACCTGTTTCATTTACATATGACTGAATATGAATCACATTAAGTTATGTTGAAACTATGTAATCCAAATGGATGGAAAATTTGTATGCAATTGAAATCCATAAAAATTCACCATAATGTACATACACATGTCGTGACGTTCATGAGAGACAGTCATGCAAACATGCAACATTTAAAAAAAAATCTTTGATATATATGCACATATTATAATTACAGTTTAATAATTTGAGCTAAGAAAGTGGTTGCTTCAAGTTGCCATTTTATAAAGATTCATGCCGTCTCTTGTAAATGGTGTGTTGACACACCACTTGACACTTTGCTGCACACTTTTCGTTTATTGCTCTGTTATTGATTTATGGGTTATGTGTCAAGAGACTGCTGTTGTAACCCAAAGATAAACATGGAAAGACAGCAAAATCAACAGAAGGAATGGGATGGAGGGAAAAGCAGAACTAGTAATGGAACTAATAGAGAGATAATGCATATCCAACCTTCTGAATTCTTCTCATAGAAGACTCCATGAGGGTGAAGAGAATAAGACCTGGTCGCAAAGTTCTTCATGTGCACCTCTATGACATCTCCGACCTCAGCCCGTAAAATGGGTCCGAGGAAGCCGAGCCAGGCAGGTTTAGCTATCTCCTCGGAATAAGACCCATCTGTGTACTGTCTGTACAAAGCTTTTTTGTAAACACTCCCTATCCGGGTCTTGCCACTTGACAGAAAAACCGACGCATGTCTGTTAAAGGGAGGCATTTAGAGAGAGAAATAAATAAGTAATGGTATAATCGGTAATGTCCATCATACAATCGGTGTACAAATCAGGATCCATGTTAATAATAATAATAATAATAATACATCCTATAAGAGTGTTAGCCTACAGCACCAAGCACTTACAAAAAGCTTTATCTACATAACATAAATAAATAAATAAATAGGCTACTACGTGATGTTTATTAGTTACCTAGCAGCCTATTACAATAAACACAGTAATATAAAATGCCGCCTATTACTTGTACTGTTACTGGTAAATAGATATGCGTCATTTTTACTTACTCGTCTTGCTCAATGCTTCGGTTATTGATAAGGTTTCTGGCGCTCGGTGCGTAATTCCAGTCTTCCTCTCTAATGGCTATATAATAGGTCCTCTTGAGACACTCGGCCTGCTGTAGCGCGAGCACAGCCGTCACAAAAGCGCACAGCACAGACTTCATCGCTTGTATCTAAACACAACCATGCATAACCAAAATCCGAGCCCGAGTCAAAAAGAGTCGCACGTAATCGATCTCAAAATGCTACTGCGCACGGAAAATCTAGCCTTGTGTGCGGCTACTAATCGAAACTGAAAGTTCAGCTCAACGGGCGTTCCTTCTTCCTTGGACTCGAACCGGTTTTTCGGAGAGAAGTAAAACTCCACCGTCTCCCTTCATAACAGAGCGCCCCGATAAACCGCACACATGCCCGGCCGCGGTGACGCTGCGCTCCGCTCTGAAACAACCATCCGCTTCATGCGCGCCGCTTTTTGAATATATGGACCATCGGTTTGTCCGGTGTTTCGACAATTCTTTCAAAAACAAAAACAAAAAAAAAAACCTTAAAGTCTTAAAGAAATGTTAAATCTTAAAGAAATGTGCCAGCTTTCTGTAAAATACGCTTAATATTCCTGCCATTTGCATGTGTTGGTAAACTCAGCCTACACAATGACGGTACCGGTGTATCATTTACAGAATTGTTTTCATCTATAATGTTGACAACAGCCAATTACATTACCTTAGGAGTGACCAAACCCATTCCTGGAGGGCCACTGTCCTAAACTCTGCAGGACACCGGCCCTCCAGAACCCCTGTCCTACCTAAACACCTTAACTTTCCCAAGTGTCATGTGTGTGTGTCATCCAGGTAACGTCGAGAGAGTTACATTAAATCCCCACCTGGAAACTTTAGAATTATTTGCATTTATTATTCAAATGACGGGAAAAACAAACCAGGAAAGATGGATGTGAAACAAGTGATTTGCTTGTATGTGTGTGCAACCTAGCTATACGTTTTACATAATAGCAGGCTAAGAGACATATGAGACAGAATCCCAATCCACTGCTAAACCCAAATTACACTATATAATTAACATACTATGAAACTAAACAGTGAATTATACACGTTTATGCACTGAATGATACATTGTGATAAAGAAGCTGTTTAATGGCTGGCTGGCTAGGACACCATGGTGACTGGAAATGGTTGTGGCCAAAGTGTCCAACATGCCGGCTTGACAGGTCTTGTCTCTGAGAAGGAATGACAGCATATGGTCGAGAGCTCTGGGGAGTTGGCATCCTCCTCCTCCTCATCCCTGTTGTTTCCTTTGTGATAGGAGCTGCACAGGAAGTCATCTGAGTAACGCACACACATGAGCTAGATGGAGAAACTCGCGGGTGTGATCCTCAAGTTAATGGTCCCCCTTGATACGAAGCAGCATTTGTACTGCTGCTGGTGGATACCTTTTTTTCTTCTTTTGGTCACCGCAATTCTGTAACGTTGAGGCAAAGACATGAGATTTTAGGCTGTAGATGAAGCAGACATTTGTTTAAATAAGACCATAATCCGATTGGAAAACAGCAGTCCAACAGGAAACAGAAACATGACAGCTTTGTTCAAACGAAGAAAAAAACAGCAAACTAAAGAACCAAACCGAGGGCTATAAAAACAAGACCAAATGTGACCCTGGACCACAAAACCAGTCATAAAGGTCAATTTAGGATCAATTCAAAATTGAGATTTATGCATCATCTGAAAGCCGAATAAATAAGCTTCCATTGATGTATGGTTTGTTAGGATAGGACAATATTTGGCAGAGATACAACTATTTGAAAATCTGGAATCTGAGGGTGCAAAAAAAATCTAAATATTGAGAAAATCATCTTTAAAGTTGTCCAAATGAAGTTCTTAGCAATGCATATTACTAATCAAAAATTAAGTTTTGATATATTTACGGTAGGAAATTTACAAAATATCTTAATGGAACATGATCTTTACTTAATATCCTAATGATTTTTGGCATAAAAGAAAAATTGATAATTTTGACCCATACAATGTATTGTTGGCTATTGCTACAAATATACCCCAGCGACTTAACACTGCTTTTGTGCTGCAGGGTCACATATGAGGAACTAAACAAGAAACAGCAGGAAATCAAAAACCATGAAAACCATTAAAAACAGGAGGTAAACAGGAAATAGTGAAAACCGAAACAAAGCACAGAATAGAATAAGTACCAGAATAATAGTTTCATAACCAAAAGGAAACTGGTGGCAGGTGACAAATATAATTTAGTCACCTAATGAAGATTTACTTATTATTTATTTAAATAAATTTAAATAAATGAATAAATTTAAATATACGTAATCATAAAAAGAATATAATGAAATACATTAGCTAAAATTAAACAAAGATTATACATTAAATAGACATAAAAAGGAAGAAAGATTGAGAAAGAATAGTTCAGTGCAATCAGTACAGCACACAAACAGTGTTTAATCAGGAAATGCAGTTAAACAGATGTGTTTTGGATTAAAGCTAGTGACCAACAGGACATCCTCTGGAAGCTGATTCCAGAACAGCTAAACGCCATCTCTCCATGTTTTAAATCAACCCGAACAGATTTGATCCTTGCAGTCTGAGAGCTTTATACTGTATTCAAGCATATCTGCCAGGTGTTTTGGTCCAAGGCCATTACGGGATTTATATACAATTAAAAGCACTTTAAAACTGAAAAACTGGAAGCCAGGGTAATGACCTAAGAGCCGGGGCGATATGTTGAGTTTTCCTGGTTTTGCTCAGGAGCCTGGCATCAGGGTTTTGTATTAGCTGCGACTGTCTAGTAGTCTTCTTGGGAAGGCCAGTAAGAAGTAAGATGCTGTGATCTATCCTGCTGGTAATGAATGCATGAATAAGCTTCTCTAGGCCTTGCTTGGACACAAAGGATCTGATTCGTGCTGTTTTTTTATAGATGGTAATTTAGTCATTTTTGATGTGGCTTCTGATGTTAAAATCACAGTCCAGGATGACAACACTAAACAAATAAGCACATTTTTAAAGAAAGACGTTGGAGTGTCCAGTCAACAGGACGTTTTAAGGTGTTGCATGCAAAGTTTTACTATCAAAGTTAGACTAATTTCAGAGCCACAACAGGATTCATTGATCGCCGTTGTAACGTTATGCATTTTATCACTGAAAAATGATGCAAACTTTTTGCATTTCTGAGTAGAAAACAGTTTACTGGGTAGCTAGTTTGGAGGGTTATTTAACCTGTCAACAGTGGTGAGCAGTGCATCTGTGTTACTGACATTCTTGTTTATAACATTTGAAAAGAAGATCTGTAATAGCTTCGTTTTCCACCTCGTAAGTTCTGCTTTTCTGCATTTTCTTTTCATGCATTGCACTGCTGTTGTGTTTCTCCATGGTGCCTTATACATGCCTGTACTTTAACTTTTTTTTTTTTATGAATTGCTACATTAATTTTAAAGTTAAACTTGTCAAAGACAGCATCAACAGAGTGGTCTCACATAGATATAGCATTTATGAACAAAACACTAGTGTTCATTCACGTACTGTTTTTTGATTGTGGCATCTGGTTTCAGTGATAGGGAAGACTGACATATCAAAGACAACGCAGAAGTGACCAGACAGAGCTACGTCCTTCATAACAGCGTTTGAGACGTTTAGGCCCTTACGGATAAGCAGATCTAATGATGTGGATGGGTCCTTCCACATGCTGGGTGAAATCAAAGGTGCTCAGAATAGATAAGCAAATATTTTGGTGCTATTCGAGTAGCCATTTCATTAAGGTTCATCTGGTCTGACGTAATTCCTGTGTTGCTGTTTGAACTGCTCTGAAACAAGTTGCTTGTTGACACTTTTTGTTTATTGATCTGTTATTGATTATTAGGGTTATCTACATGTATATTAAAGTTGCCAGCAATTACAAAATATTCAAATTCAGTGTTAGTTGCAGACAGAAGCTCTGTAAAGTCATCCAAAAAAAAAATGCTTGAGAGTATCTTTGTGGCCTGTCAATAATTAGAAATAATATATATACTGTATATAATTGCCCCTTTTAGACTTGCACTCTATTCATTTACTAACTGCTTGTTTTCTTAAAAATAAAATAAACCTATCACTAGCTTCTCTATTCTTTTTGTATTCTATGTTTTCTTTTTATTTATTATACAATTAACAAAAAGCAAAAAACAAACAAACAAAAATCTATTTCTAGAAGATTTCTATTCTATCCGTTTTCTTTTTATTATATAATAAAAAAAACCTTGCTTTGTGTGCTGTGTTAAGCTAACTGAGACTTGTTATAGCACTTGTGTATTATTGCTCTTTTGTTGCTTCTGTTGTCCTCATTTGTAATTCGCTTTGGATAAAAGCATCTGCTGAATGTCTAAATGTTAATGTACCAAGATACTCAAGAGATAAGGAATCTCCAAGGGAAATCTGTTCGGTACGCACACATAAAAGAGAAATTTGGATTTGATTCATTTAAAGTTGTTGCACTGCAGCCGTCTATTCAAGCTTTATTTAAAAACATCAGATCTAAACTGTTTGTAGAGATAAGATCATTGACTAAAAATGATTTGTTCATAAGTGAATGAATTTTAAAAATAGCTAACGTTACAGTATTTGTTTCTTCTTCACAGCGATGTTGTGGTGACATCTAATAGGTAGCAGATGACATACATTTACCGTCTGATTTGCACAGGTCTTTGTCTGTCCTTTAATTATCAAAACAGAGATAAGAAGCCCTAAAAGCACACTGTGTTCCTGCTTACTCTGGAAACCTTTGTGAATGTTACTGCTGTGGAGCGCGGACATGACACACAGCATTGTGAGCTCTTTATCTCCAGGATGCACAGATGAAGGGTGGTTCAGAGCTGCTTAGGTGGGAGACAAAAACGAACAAAAACAGATCCCACCCATGAGAGAAGGGACATTTACAAATACAACCACATTCTGGGTGCAACAGTCTGCTCTATCATGGTAAATGAGGTCCCCAAGGTCCAGACCTCTGTATATTTCTGAGGTATATTATATAATAAAAGTTGTGAAACAATTGCCTAATATTAACTCCGCTTTGGTACTGTAAGGATATTGCACAACACCAAAATAACAGACTTTCTCATGATCTGCCCCAGCGGTCTAACGTCTAACGTTTGAGATCAAACCAAAGTAGGTGGGCTTAACTGTTCTTCTAAGGTTAAAGGAGTAGTTCACTTCCAGAATGAAGGATGAGCACCATTGACTTCCATAGTAGGAAAAAACAAATACTATTGAAGTCAATGGTGCTCATCAACTGTTCGGATACCAACATTTTTCAAAATATCTTCGCTTGTGTTCAACAGAAG